TAGCTACTGAAAGGTTGTGTGTGTGCGTGGCAGAGTGCCGTATGTGGCAGAGAGCAGAGATCATGAAAGGCTGCAGGAGGGAGTTTCTCCCTGCACCAAATGATTTAGCAGGTGCTAAATCATTTAAAAAATGTATTTTAAATCAACAATCCGTGGTTCATCCATCAATCAGCCAACTGTGTGTCAGGTCCAATTTTATTTTGTAAAACCGCGCAAGAGCAAGTCTGCGAAAGTTGAACCACAAAGTAGCGAGGGACTATACGAAAAAATAATAATAATAAAAATCAGATGTTATCACTTTTATCTTTGAAAATGTGCTTTTGTAGGCTCAAAAATAAACACATTTACTTATAAATATGTTTATACATGTGCACACATGCAACGCATGTGAACCCTGTAATCAAAGAATACTAAAATTAATTTATCTTTGAACAAATAGCTCCTCTAGCTGATTAAATCTTTAATACTTGCATATTTTACATAGACAGTGGACAAGAATATTGAGCAGAGAGACAGGAAATAGGAAAATAATCCCTCTTTTCTGGTCATGAATGCAGTCATTGTGTCTTTAAGCCTCATAAATAAAGTAAATCATTTTGTTTTATTAGTAACCACCAGATTTATCTGTCTGTATGGCTGTGGCTCTTAGTCATACCAGACAGTTCATTTCCACTTAATCTCCTGTTTCAAATGGAGACAATTTGATTTTTATGATCAAGCTCATTGACACTTAAGCAGAATGGCAGTACAGTAAGAATATAATTTTGGAGGTGGTTCCAGGTGATGGGTGATTCTCTGACTCACAACGGTAATCAGCCATCTGTAACAGCAAGCTGCATGTTGTGAAGCAGACACTTGTCACATCTGCTTCTAAATGTTCTTATTTACTGTAGGTTAAACAAGACAGTTACTTTTCATCTCTCTAATGCAAAAAAAAAAAAAAGTATTAAACTACATGAAGGCAGAAGAGTGTATCTGGTGTCCCTGCAGTTAACTCCTTAACAACCCAGCCCATTCTTATAGTACTCCGGGTATTTGACTTGTTCAAAGGTTTAATGAAGGAGTAATTCTGTCCCTGCTGATTTCTAAGTTCTCAACTAATGATTGCCGGTATACTAATTAGGATTCTTGTTATTGTGCTCTTGCTGTGTATACTTTAGTGAAACATGTAATTATAATGAGGACCTGACCTCATCAGGAATGCAGTTCCTAATTCTCAACAGCATCACCACAGCTGTATTGCTGTTAGTAATTACTGACAAAGTGCCTCCATGAGGTTCGGTCCTGCTTTTCCCTGAACAATCTTAATTCCAATATGACTAAAAAATAAAAAATAAAACTCTTTATACAGTCATTCAAACAAATAAAAGCATCTGAGTAGAAATTGTATTTATTTGTGTGTGTGTGTGTGTGTTTATTGCTAGCAACTGAGCATGGGAGTGTTTCCTGTCAAAATCGTTTATTTATTTATTTTTTTTACTAGAAAATGCAATATGTAATAATAGTAATGCATTTATTTAATTTGCATAATGATGCAAAACAGAAATAGTAAAACACAACATAAATGTTTTGCCGTTTGGTTTTGGGGGAGCAAATTATTAAAAATGGACCTTTAAATAAAAAATTGTTTGAATGTTCTAGAGTTGTGCCGCTCAAGGTGGCTGCATGTTGAAGTAGCTCTTTTACTTTGTATATTCTTTCTGAGATTTAGCTTTTGAAAACTTTAATTCAGGTTTTTTTCTGGATGTAAATCACTTTTTTTGGTTGATTACTTCCTCTAGCATCAGATGTTGTGCCGCTGTAAGGATTTTTACTGAAAACTGTTTTTTACTTAGGACATTTGTTATGATGCGCAACCATAACTACAAGGTGGTTTTCTAGAACTGGGAGCTGCTGATTAATATCTCAAAAGCACAAATAATATCTCAACTACAGCCCCAAATCCCAAATGAGTTGAAAAGGAGGTGCCGTGGATGCATCTCCATCTACCTGGAGGCAGTGCTCTAGTGTCTGACCGCCGAGATCTTGGAGGTGGTGGTAAACGTGGCTTGTGACATTGGGAGGACCAAGATCGTCCCTCGACACCTACAGTTAAGTGGCAGGCTGCTGGGAGAAATGGCCATCATTGGGGGAGGAGTTCTGTCCAACATACAGGCGGTCCTGATGCCCAAGAGGACCAAGAGGTCTGTTTAGTCTGGGTGGACAGATCGGCATCTGCAGCCAGTTTCTTAAGATCCGCTGTGGAACGGACCGCTAGAAAAGATCCTTCCTGCCCAAAGCCATCAGCATCTATAACAACTCTTATGAAACAAGGATGAGCTACATTAACAATTAATTTCCCTTTGGGGTTAATAAAGTATTTCTGAATTGAATTTAATTTAATTGAATCATTTTCAAAGCCAACAGAACACCTAAAATATCCATTTTACTTTTGGAAAATGGTGCAAGGACATCCTCTAGCCTACATGCATTAAATGAATTTGTGGTCCTGTGTCAGTGGTAATTGTTTCATTCATAGACAAGTTATTTGACAGTTGAACATTGACACTAAACAAATTACTTTATCACTGATGATTCCATAGTTTGTTTTTAAACAAGGACATTCATGTTGTAGAAAAGTACTTTTTAAATAACAAAGTAATGCTTTAAGAAAAAAAAATATTTTTATAAACTTTGAAATTCAAAAGCACTGCTGTTCCATGAGTAATAATCTCTACACTTTATAATGTTGCGCTTTATCAGTTTTGTGGTTTAGAGTTTGAAGTCAAGCTGGAAACCTTGTTTTTACTGTAAATAGGTTGCACTGTGAGCATAAACATATTAAATTGCATTTCATTCTTTAAACTGTCTCCCTCCAAAAATGTGGGCTTTTCAATTAGAATGAAGTTGTATTTTCAACAATAAATCACCTGTTGATTCCTTTATCACAAGTATAACAGCACAGTAGCTTGAGAGAGTAATTAATCTTGTGAAAACGAGAAAATAATCTGCTGCTCAATGAATGGTTACAGGTAGATGATAGTTTGAACAGAATAATCCCCTTCATGCGTTATGACTAAGGCTTCACATTAGCTCTATTTACTCCTCTACACACTCACAGACACACAAATGCACATTTTCTCGTGCCCTTCTGGTGTTTCACACAATATATGACTATTCAGAACAGGAAAAAAAAAGTGTGGGCTAATTTGCAAGTTTCTGTGATGCTCCAAGCTATGGAATTTTTCACAGTAACCTCATAAATGGTTGCAAAAATCCAAGTGAATGGTTACAGTTCTTTTAGTGTGGACTGATTATTACACATTACACATTAAGTGTGGGTTTCAGGCTCTGAAGCACAACTGATGCAGTAATGAGCTACGCCAAGGACCAAATAAATAGATGTAAATTGTTAGTATGTATGAGAATTTTCTTAATAATTTATTTTTATTTTCCTTTTTTTTGGGGGGGGGGGGGGGTTATATCTTGGCAGTGCCAAAGGTGGTGAAACTTTCCCAAATGTTAATTTAGGTTTCAAAATTGCAAATGTTTAATTGTGTGTTATAAAGTATCTTTCCTAGCTACAGAGACAAGAGATTGTTCATTTGAAGATCTGAATGTGTTGTAGTTACTTTTGTTAATTTTATCTTATTTATCTTCCCGCTTTTATGAGCTTTACTTTGTGTGTTATTTTATAGAGGCTGTTGTTCTACCGTTGCACATCTGATCTCAGTTACTTATCAGCACACCTGTTTTTAATTTTTAAGATATACTGTTTGCAGTATTCTCATGTTTTATTTGCTTAATGTCAGACCCTCTTCTGTTAAAGTTGTTTTTGTTACTAATTGTTTTGGATTTTTTGTTGAACCTATATTTTACCATATCCAGCAGTCACTGTGTGAGAAGCAGGAGACACCCTGTCAAATGTACTATTGTAAAACAAAATGAAAATTAAACATTCTTTTCTATATTTTCCAGGTAAACAAGTTGCAGAAACTAAACCAGTAGGAGTACCATGTATTTATTATCCATCTTGTCTTTTGGCTGTTCCCTCTTCAGGGGTCTCACCCTCATTTACTGCCTAATTTTTACTAATTACCACTTAATTACAAAAAGCTTACTGTTTTGTTACAAAAAATTAAAACCATAAAAACTCTAGGAGCAAGCAGCGAAACATCTTACATTCATCCATGCACAATAATTAAGTCCAACAAGAAAAATTAATCATGTTCATGTAGAGAAATGGGGCTTTGCAAAAATCTAAGGATGCCATGAAAATGACTAAACAAACTACGTAACTCTGCATGGAAAATAACGGTGAGAGCATATCATGGATGTCGTTTTCTTCAGGCTAAAGATGGTTTAGAACCATGTTAAAGGTAGAATAAACATGGCTTGGATTAATTCTGTAGTCACTGATACTTAGAGTTTTACAACAATTTAAAGCTTTTACACACGTTA